ATATTACAAGGAAAAATTCATGATTCATTACCCTAGAAGGTCTAAGATACTTAAACTTCTTCCACCAGAATTGCGTTCAACTTTGGAAACAAATATGACAGCAACTATTTCTGATGAAATGGCAGAGAAGATTTTGAAAGTAAGAAGGTTTGATCACGTTTTGAAAACAGAACCGGAACAAAATTCTTTGAGAATAATTGATAGTAAGGGGCATTTGCAGCTATTTTGGAAGCCACTAGTACAGTTGGTCACATGGGGTGTATTAAGTGAACCAGAGGTTGACAAGTTGATCGAGGCTACATGTTTTATTCGAAATCAGATGTATCATTTCATTTGTTGGGCATATGTAGTATGTGATCTTATAAGCGCTTCCCTAGTTTTGCATGGTTGGGACGACATGTTTACTCCGCTTTGTCCAAGGTTTTTGTGTCAGAAAATTAATGGTGCTAGGTTTGCAAAGAATCTCAAATCAAAGAGGGCGCGTGGTCCGAGTGGTCATAGCTGCTTTGGATATAGTGTTCTAGGTGGATTGGCATATGCACAAAGGTATGGAATACCTAGAGAAAGGCACAACGAAGAGAAATTGGATTGTCGTGATAGGAGGATTTTCTCTGATGGCGAAGAGCTGTATAAAATATCAGGCATCTTTTATAATGATACTCTAGAAAAAGCATTAATCCGTAAGCGAACTCATCGTGTCGCTGCTACATTATCAATATTTGAAAGATGAACAGAGAAGGAGAAGGATTTTCTTTGTCCATTCACGGATTGTGCTAGATTTTTGGCGATTTAAGCATGCGGTAATTGCGGTCTACGATGAAGATGCCGATGGAGAAAAATTTGCCACATAGTTGTATCCCTTGACACGATGTTGATAGGTGCTGGAGTTAGAAGGAAAAAAGAAAATGTTGATGAACGTTTGTATTTTGAGAAGCCCCAATACCTTCTCTCCAACTTTTTCTTGATAGATATGGCGTACAAGGATAATGAAATTTAAGAGACCAAAAAAACAATGAGATATCTAGGGTTGGTAACTTCATAATATTGCTTTTCATTTAACTGTGATGTTTCCCTTATGAATAATGGTTTTTGGTTTTTATATAGTTAGGTAATCCTTCAGACAATGAGTTTACATGCTTTACTCCTCCAAGACCTGAACAACATCCTCCTCCTGAACAACATCCTCCTCCGGAACCTAAGAGACGTAACTTTGGTCAGGAAAATCATCAGGAATCAGCTATTACGTTTGTAACTCAAGAGTATGTGTAGATGTTACATCTTTTTCTTTTCTGTTTGTTTGTATTGCTTGTATGGAATGTTCCTCTAATCCTTTGTTGTTTTAATGGCAAATTTGAGGAAGCCAAGAAGGAGAAAATCGATGCCAAGAATAGCCTAGATACATACGTGTACAACATGAAGAATCAAGCGAGCGACAAGGACAAGCTTGCAACCAAATTGAAAGCAGATGAGAGGGAGAAGATCAAAGATGAGAATTCTCAGAAGGTTAATAACTTAATATCCTTAGCTCTTCTCTGTCACCCTCTAGGGTAGAATCTTCTGTTACTACTGCTATTCACTTGAGGTTGAAACTTAGGCTGGTGACAATTATGTTTAGGGGCTTATTCAATCCAAAGCCGATGGAAAGCTAGTGGAGTTGAATTCTCACGGTAGTATGAGCAAGGAAATATTCTGACTGTGGAATAACTGATGCTCTCTTGAACAACAAAGTGGGCATGGTAGTGTTTTTGTTCATAACTCTCATGCTTAACCTTAGAACTTTTAAGCTAGTTTAGTGTTGCCTCATCTTTCTTCATTTTCAAACCACAGATCATTAGTGACTACAAGGAACTTATCCAAGCAGAACTAGAGAACCAGAAAGAAGTAAGCACCTATACCATTTGCCTTTGTTGTCTTTATTAATTGACTACTAGTTTACCAAAGAGACTAAGAACTTATGATAATCCAATCATCACTGATCTGATGGGGAGGAAGATGAGTCTTGCAACGAGCTCAATGTTATCCAGTGTTGATTTGTTGAACCCATTGGAGAATATGTTTTTGGTTTATCATGGATTTTAGGAAAGGGGAGAAGATTCAGTAGCGTCCCTTCTTTACTCTCTCTCTCAAATACTTTTTACTTTCAAACATTATGGAATACATGGTTTTCATGTTATTTTGTTGTGATGATCAATCGTTCTCGTGCTGAAAATGTGCGAAGCTAAACGATCTGTCAAAACTGTGGGATGTCAAAATGCATTAGAAGGAAAACGTTTCGCCTTCAAGGAAAAAAACTAAAGAACTATTGAAATGAATTAAATGTAAGAAAAAAATCTATCTGATAAATGAATTTCTATTATTTAGGTGATGATGATGAAGAAACCAAGACTCGTAGTTTCTATAGAGATAACTTGCCTGAGTGGCCGCCAGAGAATCCTTTTGACCAATTTTACGTGCTAAATGAATCGGAGTTGCAACACAATGACTGGGTTCATCTATATCTGGATCCGATAGGAGCCAGATCCACCATCTGACTAACGTCGTAAATATTGTCAAAGGGGCTATAGATACCACTTAGTATGGAACAAGAGAAAAATGCAACTGTCTGCATACGTTACAAGGCATTTTATGTATGTCTGAATAATTTTATGTATTAGGGGAAGCATGGAAGGCATTCTTCTTGCCTTAATTACCATGTTTAAGTTTTTAAAAACGATTGCTGTATTCGTAATTATGTGTTTCTTCCTTGTATGAACACATCCTCTAAAGCTTTAATATAACAAGTGTCGTTGTTGGTGACAAAAACAAAAACCATGCATATGAATATATGATGAAGCCAATCAAAACAATAACAGTTCAGCTAAACATAATGCTGCAATTGCAACAAACTCAATATCACTTATAATTTATTCCCTACAATTACAATGTATGAATTTTACACGATTAGTAAAAGCTTTTATTAAAAAAAAAATGGTTAATGGGAGGATTATGTTCAGTATATACAAGAGCATCTACTCATTCTAAGTTAGTAAAAAGAATTTAACAGATTGATGAAGAAAGAGAGCTCAGAAAACCCAATATTTCTTCTTCTTCTTGCCCTCCGGTATTGGCAGCTCTACACAGTTCCAACAACAAAACTCCAATAAATCAAGACTAACATTTGATTCAACATATATAATCCATGACTGATTATACTCATACAATAAATAAAAACATACCTCCTTCAGGGTAGATTGAATTGTAATGAACCTCAGCCCAAAAGCTTAAACATATAACTGATTCAAAAGCACAACAACACATGAATTAAAAACAGAGGACATTTTTATTTTGTATAAAACCATGACATGATGTTGTGTTGCAGGTAACTTACGGCGATTAGACTTTTGCAAATGAGGCAAGATCTCAATGTAACATGTATCCTTGAACGAAGTTATCACAAACATCCGAACACCATACTGCAATAACAGCAAAACAAATTTAAAAAGTATTTCAATTGCCACATTCATATTCCAAGATCCCTAAAGATACTTTCTTCTTACAAGCATACAGTAAAGAAACAGCTTAGGTTGTGTAAGTACCCAATCCGCAGCAGCCTGAAGAGTAACGTGATCACCCCATTCTCCATTCCTGTGTGTTCACAAAATATTGCCACCGTTAGTAATTAGTTAAAGCAATAAACTCCAGAGAGGAATTGAAAGAAATATAAGCTTCAGACCGTTTCATTGTTTTAAGATAGTCGTTGTACGCCATTGGAACATAACCTTCATACATCTCTCGATTATACGCAAGCTGAAATATATGTATGAGAATGTTAAATCATTAAATCGCAACTGAAATGGAGGGAAATAGATTCTTTTCTTCGTAGTACTATATATCTCAACCTGATTAACAACTTGTTCTCTAACAAAATTATGGTGTTCTGGAGAGCGGTAAAGCTGGTCTGATAGTGATCGAAACTGAGAAAAATTGTAAACGAGTGTGAGACACTACTAGAAATTCTCACAGCAAAAACAAAAATTAGAAACAAGAAGAAGAGAAGACAAACCTGGCAGTTTCCATCTCCTTCAATCTTGTTCTCTACCAAGCCATAAAGCTGTAATCTGTAGCGTAAAATTACCATACACAAGGAGAGATCTCTCAATATCCATTCAAATATATCTATAGACCAAAAATTGATTGCAAAGTTAAAACTAATTTGAAACCACACAACTCTCAGCTATCAAAACTAATTGAGACAATATTGATTCATTTGAAGCAGCTCGATGTACCAATTGATCATGAATCTTTGAGGTTAGAGATCTGATAACATTTCTAAGTTCTAACAGGTTAAAACCAAACAAGATCAACGGAAATGGTGATAAGCAATTGTTACTCTAGCTTGAAATTGACATCATATCTATAACATACCTCTGAAATAGGCGTTCATGATCAGAAATCTGTTCATCCTCTGACGGTAGTTCCCCATTGATTTTCGGTACATGCTACAAAACACCATTGGAAATCAGGGATTCCAAACTTACATATGTTTCCAATGAGTTGATGATTTAAAAGCCATCACAAAGAAGATGTACTTACAGCAACAGGTATCATCTGGTTCAATCGCTTCCCAACCTCAGAATCCAACGACCAAGATTCTTCTTCTATTTCTACAGAACAAACCGAGTCATCATCACGAGATGGGTAGCTTTGTTCTCCTTGAGTTCCTATCCTCCCAACATTCTTTTCTTCCATGGCACCGTTATGTTCACTTTCCCGAGATATATCAATGACTTCCCCTTGATTTTCTTGCCCTGCAAACGGTAAGTAAAGCTCATAACGATAAACCCGGAAATTCAAAACCGGTTCCAAATGATGGATTGTATAGACAAGTTCTTTGAAAAGTCCACCTTGATGAGGATGAGACCACTCTTGCGTAACAACTGAAGTCGGACTAGGATTATTAAACCCCGATTCTTCGGCTCGAGCAACTCTAGACAATTCGTCTTGATAAAACTGAGCGATTACAGCATCGTTGTCAACATAACCAGTCAAAGGCTGATTGTAACCTTCTCTAACATAGCCTTGAGTAACAACACCTGGCTCATACCGCGTTACACTAGTACAAGAACCGGCATTTGTAAGTGTACAAACCTCCAGATCATGAAGACCCCATCTAACAGCATCTGGATCAGGCTCATATCCCATTAATATAAACGGAAATTACCAAACTTTATTATAATCACAAAACACCCAAAATTGCGTGAAGTATTTGTGTTTCCTGCAAAAAGACGAAAACGTGGAACGCATGATCATTTTACCTCTAACAATAACCAAAATTATCAACAAAGATAAGAATCCGTCTGATGTATCTAACAATAACATGATCATTGCGTTTTTCGTAACAAAGAAACGAAATTTCTTGCAATATTACAAGAATCCGTGAAACCACCACAAACGCTATATCGAATTTTACATAATTTTGCTGCCAAAACCCAAATCATCATCTATAGAGACCAACCCAGAACCAAACTCTCACCAACAAATCCCAACGAAACCGATGACATAATTTGTAATACCATTTAACAATTCTCGACCCTTTTGAAACGAATTGAGATATGAAAACGAAGAAAAGGTAGCGAATTTGGAAAACCCACCAACCTGGGGAACCTGACGATCAATCAACGAAAATTATGT